AAAAATGATTTTAATATAAATATAAACAAAATATTTATTTAATTTAAAGTGTTTGTAATTATTTTTAGTACAACACAAAAATGTATGTTAAAAATTGGTCCCTTTACTGTGACAAAAACCGAAGGGGATCTTCAGCCTGGAGAGATCGATATTGTGGCAATCGAGTGTTATCCTGAATTCGTAGGTTCTGAAGAAGAAGATATAATAATTTTCGTTCCTGATAGTGTTCCCGAAGATAGAAATGGCAAATTGATAAAATTATCCGTTAATTCTTGCATACCAAGCGTCAATCTTCAAGATCTCGACGCTATATTCCATGAAAATCACATTGTGAATCACATTGAAGACTTTATTTGTTCAAAAGAAGTATTTAATTCCTTCAACAAGTCAATATCATATTTATCTTTTAAATCAAAGTAAAACTAAGAGGCTTATATTTTTTATCAGATCGGTACATATACCATATTCGCACGTCAAGAGAAATGCCTGTACTTCCGTTACGTCAGTGTGTTTCACACCCATACGGCATATCTTGTGCTTTACAATCGGAATGTAATACCTGCCGACGTGAAACTGACCTTACTCGCGGATTCATTTACACCGAAAACTATGAGACCTGATACTTTCGTTCTGATACCCGAAAGAGAACGCATTCAATCAATGAGTCACAAGAGATTCGCGATTTCATTCAATCCAACGTTTATAGAGGTAACACTATCTTGTTTTTAAAAACATATATAAAATATCTAAAAAATTAAAAAAAATTATTACGGACTCACTGGACGATACACAACAGCGTTAGTTGTAGATTAGGTTGTAACTACATTGATCTGTAAAATATAAACAAAATATAAACAAAATCCAAATTATTACAAGCAAATTAACATATAAGAACCTATTACATGCATCAAATTTATTAATAAACTAATTAAAATTTATGCAAAAGATAATCATTCATAAAAGACTTTTATAAGAGTTCTTTTGATTCTAAATTACTAAAATAAACGGGAATAAACAAATAAAAATAATAAATATAAATAGAAAACTTACTCACTCCGCGGCTGCTTCGCCGTCACCTGATGGTTTCCAGGTCTTCTCTTCCTCTAAAGTTTCTCATATTACACACACAAAATACAATTGTGCATGAATTAATTATAACCTTACGGACAATTAGAACAATTTGCATGGTATTCCCGAAGTTAAAATTAATTAAAGATCGATCTCTCGCATGATTATTGATGAAAATAGACACAATATCCATTTTGAATAAAAATCATTTACGTTAATTTTTTAAATTTATATTTTAAATTTATATTACATTATGTTAGAAGTAAATATATATTAACAGTACACAAAAGCGATAGCACATAGATTTACATTACTTGAAATTATTCACTCCAGTGAGTTTCGTGTCACACTTTACATTCCCCAAATTCAAAAACAATAATAAATATATTTTACATTTAATTTAAAAAATATATAAAGCATGATAAATATATCAAAATCGAAGTTTTATTTAAAAACCAATTATCATTCGTAAAATATCACAATATACAAGATAATTTATAATTTTCATCTCCTATTGCTTTGATTCCGATTTCCAACGATTTTCAAATGAATGAATCGCATGAAAGAGCTGCTCTGATAAGTAGCTGCTGTGTGTATCGATATAAGTTAATCATAAGAGATAACTGATTGCTTAACAAATTATAATAAGAGAAAAATTGCATTTATGAGCTTATAGCATCTTGTAGCGATGAAATACGGAGCGGTTTGACCGAGTCGAGTGTTATTGTGCGATTGAGAGAGCGGCAATATTATTAATTGCTTTACATTTACACACAAGTGAAACTGAGTCTGAAGCAAGCTGAGAATTTCATACTCAGATTAATGACGTCATTATTTGTATACTTTGATAAAAAATTATCACATAATAACACAGGTTTATAACCTCACTTTTAAAATAAATTTACTCACTAATAAGCACACGGTTGATCTTATGCAGAATATAGACAGAAACTCAATTAAATCTCACTTGTCAGAATGCAAATGGAATACGCATTTAACTGAGTTATGACGTCACAAATAAAAATTATCTGAGAATCGGTATAAATGGAAAGTAACTATTGTGTATATACAACGATTAAATAACGTCATTAATATCAAGACATATACATTGATTATTTTAAACTAATTATTTTATTTAAAGCTCTATATAATATGCTAAATTTTCACTTGCAATTTATTTTTGAATAAGTGATGCAAAGTAAAATAATTAATATAACGTAATTCCATCGAGCTCTCCAAATTTTTTGAAGTGGAATTTCACTCTAAAGAATAAAAAGCCAAACTTAAAAAAGAATGGCTCAGTTTTCCTTAAGAGTGAGATTTCACTTTTTAAAGTGATATATAGTAGATTACTCTAAAAGTTTTGGAGAATACTTTTAAACGCTTGATCTTTGACGATCTCAGTTTAACTTTGCTATCTTAATTCGAAATGGCAATGAACAAATTATAGATAATAAAAACAGCGAAAAATTTGCACTGAGACAAGAAATTTATTTGACATCAAGGATTACATTAGCAGAATAATTATTATTCTTAAATTGTGAAACAATAATTTATAATTTATAATCTCTCTTCCACTCTATTTCATTGATTTTTTTAAATAAATCGATGCTGAAAAATCAATTTCTATCTCTCTTGACAAATGTAAAGCTATTATCTCTGTTTAAGAGTTATTAATCGCGAAAGCTAAAAGCGCAGAATACCAGTCACAAATTCTAATAATTGGAAAGAATAATCGTATTGAGTCTTTTTTTCTTAGCGTCATTTATTTGTAACAAAAACAATCGTATCTTGAAAAGTTACGATAATATAGAATAGCTCTCTTCACTACTTACAATAGAGAAAAATTGCCGATACTGACATAGGTCTCCTAAAACGACATTACGTTATTTCTTAGGAACTAACTGTTGCATTTTATTAATACTAATAAACACATAATCTATTTAGTTAAATAAAAAAGTGTAAACGCATAATTCATATATTTGTAGCTTGTTTCTATACGAAATCAGCTAAAAACGAAATCTATGAATGCAAAAACAAAATTCTTACAATTTTCTTTTGCAAATTGCATAATTTAAATAATAGTTCATAACTTTTATAAAAATAAACGTACTTCTTAAAAATTTTTTTTATTGAAACATCAGACAGACTTTAAGGAACATAACGGTACCAAGTATATATATGTATATTTATTAATAAAAAAAGTTATAAATAATGAAAAAACATTGGAAAAGCATTGAAAAACTGGGTATTGCCATACTTAGAGTAGTTTTTAAAGGTTAACATTTTATTTACATTGAATTTTCGCCACTTAAAATATGATTTTATTATTGATATTTTGAATTAAAACGAGAAGTAACGCATAAAATATTGTTATATTGGATAATACATTGTTTTATACTTTGAATAAATTATCATATAGAACAATACACATAATATATAAATAAAACAATACATAATAAATTTCTGCGTTCAATGATTTGAACGCTTTATTTCCGTTAGATACGTTTATTATTTTGTAATCTTTATTTGTAAATGACAATTAATATACTATATTACGTTTAAATCAGACAACAATTTACAATATGATAAGAAATTTATTAATTCAAATTCGAAGATTGTTAATGAAATAATTATTTGTAAATTTTATGACAGAATAATAATTTATAATTTACATCTATTTCTATTAATCAATTTATAATATGAGTTTTTAATCGTGAAAATTAAACGCGGAGTGACAATTACAAGTTCTAAATTAATTATAAAGAATAATCCCGTATTGCGTCTATTTTCAGTCATACTATATTAAAATTTGAACAGTAAGAGAATTGAATTTTTAACATCAACTGATTAGTATATGTATATGTAAGTATTGTAAAACTTATTTATCTATGAATTATATACAGAATATCCCATAAGTTTTTGCCAAGCATTTTTGTGTAGATAGAACAGACTAAACTGAGTCGAAAAGTTCTCTATCATTTTGCAATTTTCGCAATGGTTAACGAAAGATTAATTACTAAAAATCGCTAAATATTTGTTATCAATAAGTTTTGCTCAAATACTATCAACTTTACAGAAAAATAGCGAGAAACACAAATCGTTAATTTTTTTCTCATAAAGTTTTAAGAATATTTTCAAAATTTTTTAGAATTTTTAAACAATTTTTTTATATTTATTATTAGTTATTATTAAACCATATTTCCTCATGTTAGTAAGAATAAAAAAATGCAGTAGTAAAAAGTTAATAAATAAATACTTTTTTAGTTATAATGCTTGAAAGTTATAGTACCGCCGGCATTACCTAAGGCCGGCCAACACTGAAATCTCTTAAATATTGTTCAGGATCATATCCTAGGTATCATTTGTCAAAATCAAAGCTATTGGAGGTTGTACCTCTTATTTTCATTTTTACGTAAAACTGAATTTTTAGTGCGTTTTCGAGATAAAAATTTGTAATGTTTTATTTTGAACACCCGATGTGTGTGGTGTGTGTGTGTGTGTGTGTGTGTGTGTGTTTGTGCGTGCATGTGGTTGTGTATGTGTGTGTGTGTGTGTGTGTGTTTGTTTGTGCGTGCATGTGGTTGTGTGTGTGTGTGTGTGTGTGTGTGTGTGTGTGTGTGTGTGTGTGTGTGTGTGTGTGTGTGTTTATATATATATTGCATATATATATATCGGGTGTTCAAAATAAAACATTAAAAATATACGAGCATTTTTACTCTAACCCTGTATGTGTATATATATATATATATATATATAAAAGGTTAGAGTAAAAACGTTGGTATATTTTTTTTTAAATTAAACAATACGTGGCTTATTTTGAGCTTATAATTATAATAACTTTAAATTAATATAATGAACATAAAAATATAAATAATAAATAATATTCTAAACAAACATTTCAGCTTTCAAAGCTGTTATGTGTATGGTATATATATTTTATAATATTGTTAATTTAACTCTCAATGAGAGATCTGGTCAAAAATTGACTCAAACGAGTAACAGTCAACATCTAATTTTTAATTTTATTGTACTTGACCAGATATCTGATTGAGAGTTTTAATTACAGTATTTTATATAAATTAACAATCATAAAATACTTGTAAATGATTTCTCGAATCGTTTGATACAAGTCTGTGACAAACTGGATTCTCGATTTCAACCGAGGATTTGGCAAAATTATTTTATTGAGGAACATAATGTAATCTACTATTGACTATTTAATCTTCTTATCTTATTGTAATCTGTCGTAATACTTTTTGAATTTTTTATATACTGATGACCGGTATGTTAATTTAGTTGCGCTTATTTCTTCGTAAGAAGTCTTTTTATCTTTTTTATCAACTAGAACTTTTCCAAGAGATATGAAACACATTTGACTGTTCAATCATATGTGAATAATGTCGAGTTATACATCAAGACTCACCCGAACTGTGAATGTAGTGAATATGCGAACATTTGCGATAATTAATTTTGTACTGCGATTTTTTCGATAAGTTAATGTCTGAAGAGCGCTCAATCTGGTAGCCGAAACTTGTAATTTAATTGTATTTAAATTGAGTTTTTATTTTATTATATATATTTTTCCAATTTTACTTTTCTTATTTGTAATTTATTCTTTTAATTGTGTGGCTTTTTTAAAGAAATGTGTTTGATTCTTACTTTGCCCTTTATTTATTGTTATTTATTTTGTATAGGAAGAGTCCTTCAATCTGTTATAAATTTTTTATAAAACTTATATTTTTGTAGATATTTCGAGGTCTGATCTTTTTCAGACACTCTGCTATAGCAATGTAACGACAGCGATATAGCGACGACTCTAAGTCTATTTACAAAAAACTCTCCTTTTAGTGCCCTCGACAATCTCTGAAAGTTTATCGGTTGAATTTCTGAACACTCTGTATATACAGAGATATATATGTATAATTATATGTATATTACAATTATAGACACAAATATCCAAAAAGAAATAATATGAGTTTAGTGTATAAATATAAATCAAAAAAAAATTTAAGAAATTATTTTAAACATCTAGTATAATAATTTGCATTTATCAGAAGTGACAAAGGATTTGCGGGTTATCAATGCAAGGAGCTGATGAAATGAACGGCAAAGTTCACGAAACATTTGGCATTAGCAATGTATCACATTACGGCGATAACTGCAAATCCTTTAGTACTTCTGAAAAATTATACAATTATATAAAATAAGGGTAAATAAATGTCGATGAAAGGAGCTTGTCTCGATAGCCTTGATATTATCATAATCCTCGGGGACCTCTAATAGGTTTTAGCTGTCGCTCATTATTCGTTAAAAAGTTATTAACAAAAAAAGTCATCAATAAAACCTAACTTATGGACACGACTATGCTCCGATGAAACAAATTCCCAAATTCTAACAACACAAAATATTTTTTATATAATTTCTTATATAATTTTTGTGTTTTTAGAGCAGACATTTGTGTTTTTAAAAGCAGAGAATTTGTGTTTTAAAAGAAAGAAATTGCGGTTTTAAGGCAAAGAATTTTGTTTGTAAAGCAAAAAATATTTTATTATGTATAATTTACACCTTTTCCATTCTTTTTATATGGATAGAAGATTAAATCCAACATTTCTTTAATTAAAATAAACACTATAACTATATATATAAACACGATTACGTTGTCATCGCCCAAATACCTATAACGAAAAACATTATCTCGCTGAATTTTTATTCAAAAGGATTTTTTTATTTGAAAGAAGAATTGAAGCATTATTTGACATTATGGGAGAAATGTATCCTATTATATAATAATAATAATATCCTATTAATAATATATTATGACGAATAAATTATATAAAAAATTATATAAAAAAATATTTTGCGTTATTAAAGTAAGGAATTTGCTGTATCGGCTAAAACCCTGTTTAAGGTCACTCAGTCATAATCTTGACACACATTGTATATCAAGGTTAAGGTCATCAGGACAGACTCCGCTGATCGACATATTTACCAAAATAAGTATTATATTTTCAATTTCAATTTAATTTCTTTTGTTTTTCATGATTTATGATTATAATTATAGACGTGTTATGCAATCTTCGATATAGCAGTCGAACTTCCCCTGCATTTGAAGGATGAAAAATTTTTCATTAAATTAGTAGGACAAGCTTGCGTGCCAGAAGTGACAATCATCGAACCACTAAGCACAAAACGAGAACGAACTGTTTTAAATTTTGGTCGTACGCTTGTAGGTGAATCAATTGAAAAAAAATTTGCTTTTAAAAATATTGGTGTGATACCATCTAAAGTGATTATCGAAATTATCGAGGATCCAAATTTCCATTTTACTCTCAACATTTGCGAGAGTACAAGAAACTTGTCAAGTGGTTGGTATTATAAAATTAATCGTTGATTTAATTTTTCTTATTAAAGAAATAATTAAAAAGATAAATAAATATTTTATAAGTTAAATTGTATGTGTTAAAAATCTCAAAAGATAAAAAAAATTAATTAATAACAGAGAACAGATCTTTTTAAATAAGCGCATCAATGTTATCCTTGTATGTTATACAGGTTCTTATAATTTACAGCTACAATCGTCTAAAATATTATAGGTTTTTATGATAAAAATAA